CCAAATAAATTGTAATGGATCCAATTTCAATAAAAAAAACATTTATTACAAAAAATTCACTGTTTGTCAAAATATTTAAAAAAAAACTTCGCATACCACTATAAGATACACCCTTTACACTCGGGAAAAAAGTAAAGTGACATTTTGCTACCTGTCATCAGAAATAAAATGTCAAACGTTTTTCCCGTTACAGAAAAAATAATATTTTTTGCATATCAACTCTTTAGCCGACATAAAAACAATCTCCTAAGTTCAGAAAAACAGCGTTTAGGCTATATCTTGAATTTCGTTGAAAAACGTAAATATCCGGTCATGTGATCCTTACATCGGAAGTATCAAAACCGCATAACAGAAAATTCTTGCTTATTATTATAGACTAGAGATGGGCAATAAATCGCGAACTGCTAAATATTCACTGCGAATGAAAAATCGCAATCGCAATTTGCTATCTATTATAAAATAAACTGCGAATAGCGCGATCGCGACTACAAACCCTCATTGGGCGAACAACAAAACAGTTCTTTAAATGCATTAACCGAAAAGCGAAAAGTAAAATGTAAACGACCGCTTTCACAGTGTTCACACGTCTTCAATCACGTTTGCTGACTTTGCTCATTGCTGAGCTATGTCAACTGTAATCGCAACTTCGCGTTTTTCATCGCGTCGAGTCTATTCATTGGTCGATTGGCAGCGATTTTGACTGTAGTATTTGCTATATACACTAATGTTTTATTATATTTTAATTTTCTTATAGAATAATATAACTTATTAAAATATTATACCCAGACTCGACACTCAGCAGATCGCTGCATTAATTTTCAATTTGCGATAACGCTATATGTAATGTGCAAGGCAGCGAAATCATGACGTCATTCGCAGTTAGCATTCGCAGTTTATATTCACAGTGAATTATAAATCGCATTCACAGTAACAACTGCGAATGAATATTCGCGACTAAGCTCATCTCTATTATAGACGCCCAGAAGCATATATTTCATTACCAGTCAAAAATAAAAAAAAAATCAATAAGCAACTTTACTTTGAATTTGACAGGTTAAACGACAGCTCCAACCACCGAAACATGTTGTTTACCCTCACTCCCTTGTACCCAATTACAAATAGCAGGCAGAAAACATGACATGTCTTTTTTTGCAGTCAGATGAGGGAATAATCCTTCTTCACACAATAATTTTTTTTTATTATTGTTATAAAATCCTGCAAACATTATCAAGTGTGTGAAATTAACGCGTTCTATAACACTAAACGTTTTCCTGAAACATTTTACTATTCCAGTCCTGTCTATTTCTTAACGTATACATAGAAAAAAATTATCATCTACATTCAAGAAAAGCTTTACACTTGGAAGATTACATTTGTTTGAAATGCAGAGTTTGCTTCAAATAATATTTCTCGATACAATAAGAAAATAAATGTTGAGTGAAGTATAGGCATAATCTTGTATTTTAAGAGTTCTAATAATTAATCTGAGAATACATTATTTCATTCTAGTATAGAATTGTGAATTAATCCAAGAAAGTTCTTACGTTAATTATAAGTATGATATGCTCTTAAAACCTACTATTCCGTACTTGATTCAATGTCATAAAAGTATTCGATTCAAAGCATTTAAATTTCAGAACAAGAATTGAACAATTCGAATCAAAAACCTATGTACTTCACAAAAGATTAGTGAGTACAAATTCATTGCACGGTGTTGCCAGCTGAAACTTATTTTAAAATGCAACCCCTGCACTGATACGGTAGATATATGACTGGCACATGTTGAGATATGATACTTATTATTCGGAAATCAGAAACAGATAAATGTGCTATATTAATTAAAAACAATTTTGAAAAATGTTTTTCGGTGGATAGGTACCAGTGAGAACCCTATTAAAAAGCAAGAACAGCCTGATCTTATTTCAAGATTATTAATTTCTTCAATTAAACTATCCTATAATTCAACCAAAATCAATATATTTATGTCAAAGATCATATTATTATTGCAACAAATTTAGTTGTATTGGATTTAAGAACAAGGTATTATTGAATATAAATAAAGTATATTTAAAAAAAGAGTTGTGTGTGTGGGTGGGGGCTGGCATCGGATTCGAAGTCCATTTGCCACAGATACAAAAAAAAAAGTTAAGACTTCTAATTTCAAGATTATTAATTTCTTCAATGAAACTATCTTATAATTCAACCAAAATCAATATACAGGGTTGGCCAAACCTCTGTCGTAGTTCTATAACTCCTATTATGCAAATCTTAACGATTTATTCGAAGTATACCTGTCAATGGAGGTTCAAACCAAATATCCCAAAATTATTTTCTTGTGTACAATAGTAAATTAGGCAAATCACTTATTTTTTTTTTAAATGGAATGACCCAACTTTTTTTGCAATTTTAGGTACTCTATGGTCACTAGTGCATACCCACAAAATATTGTTTCTAACATCCTACCCCTTTCGCAGAAAAAGAAGAAATACCAAAAAATATTACATTTTCAGACGCCTATTAAAATATGCAGTGCTCTCTCGAATTTGACGTTAGAATTTAAAAAACTACAAATGTATAAAGCCAATAGACCAAAGATTTTTTTAGACCAAGTTTTAATTTTTTATTTTGTACAGGGTGATCACAAATTAATTTCAATTTCCAAAAATTTCTAGGACATTTTTTCAAATTTTTCAAATAGAACACCCTGTATTACTATTCATCGATGAAACGAGAATTTTATACCCTTCGACTTCCCCATGTACTTTCTTATACCTATCTGTCGTCGTTTAAAAGTAAATTCCAAAAAGACATTGATCTATCAAAAATCCAATTTCTACCAGTGGTTTAATTGAAAGTGAACATTTAATCAAGTAGGCTGGGTCTTAATGAAGTGTCAGATTATTTATTAATGAAGTGTCAAGTTATTTTTACTGATCGCGATAATTCTTCCATTAATAATTAATTTTACGAAAAACGAATTAATTGACATGGTCTATGTTTTGGGAGAATCCGACAGAAATTGTTTATTGGCAAAAAGAATTTATCATCAACGATATCCCGATAGACGCATCCCTGATCAAAAAAGTTTTGAAAAATTACATGAAAGATTTACCGAAACAGGAAATGTTGCTTATAAAAAACCAATAATTGACAAACGTGCTACTGATAATGATAACCAATTATCTGTAATTTTAACAGCGATAGAAGATCCTCATGTAAGTCAAAAAAAGATTGCCGAAGTAGTAGGTATAAGTAGAACATCCGTTAGAAGGATTTTAAAACAGCATCAATATCATCCTTATAAAATACAATTGCATCAAGAGCTGAAAGACACCGATTTTGATAATAGAATGGTGTTTTGTAACTGGGCACAAACTAAACTGCAACAAAATCCATATTTTTTTTTATAGAGTGCTGTTTTCTGATGAATCTATATTCCACAAGAACGGATTCGTTAATAGACATAATTTCCACTATTATTCCACGGAAAATCCTAACATCATCAGAACACATAGCCAAGAAAGATGGAGTGTAAATGTTTGGGGAGGTATAATTGGAGATCATGTTATTGGGCCGTATTTTTTTGAAGGCAACTTAAATGGTCTGATGTAATTAGATTTTTTAGCAAATCATCTTCCTACTTTACTTGAAAACATTTCCCTTGCTGTAAGACTAACAATGTGGTACCAACATAATGGGGCAGCAGCGCATTTTTTACGCGAAGTGGCAGATGAATTAGATGAAAAGTTTCCAAATAGATGGATTGGTAGAAATGGTCCAAAAAAATGGCCAGCTCGATCACCTGACTTAACAAAACCCGATTATTTTTTGTGGGGTTATATTAAAAATGTATCTTACGCCACCTACAACACCTGAAAATATGAAAGAAAGGATAGTGCCAGCTTTCCATTCCATTACACCTGATATGCTTAGAAACGTTTCTCGATCATTCGCCCAACGAATAAATGTATGCATTAGAGAAAATGTCAGATATTTTGAGCATCTTTTATAAAATGTAAATTTATGTTTTAGGATAAATTTCAGATAAATTTTATTATCGTAATTTTCTTCCTATTGAATTTATTTTATAACGGCGACAGATAGGTATAGGAAAGTACATAGGGAAGTGGAAGGGTATGAAATTCTCCTTCAGTTGATGAATAGAAATACAGGGTAATACATTTGAAAAATTTAAAAAAAATTCCCTCGAAATTTTTGGAAAGTGAAATTAATTTGTGACCACCCTGTACAAAATAAAAAATTCAAACTTGGTCCAAAAAAATCTTTGGTCTATTGGCTTTATACAATAGTAGTTTTTTAAATTCTAACATCAAATTCGAGAGAGCACTGCCTATTTTAATAGGCGTCTGAAAATGTAATATTTTTTGGAAATTTTTTTTTTCTGCGAAAGGGGTGGGATGTTAGAAACAATATTTTGTGGGTATGTACTAGTGACCATAGAGTACCTAAAATTGTAAAAAAAGTTGGGTAATTCCATTTAAAAAAAATTAAGTGATTTGCCTAATTTACTATTGGGCCACCCTGTACACAAGAAAATAATTTTGGGATATTTGGTATTGGCCACCATTGACAGGTATACATCAAATAAATCGTTAAGATTTGCATAGTAGGAGTTATAGAACTACGACAGAGGTTTGGCCAACCCTGTATTTATGTCAAAGATCATATTATTATTGCAACAAATTTAGTTGCATTGGATTTAAGAACAAGGTATTATTGAATATAAATAAAGTATATTTAAAACAAGTGTAAGACTATTTCATTTAAAATGTACATAATACTGCAATTGAGAAATATATACTCTTCATTTAATTAAAGATATTTTGGTTGGGGCAAGTTGATTCTAATCTTGAAGCAAGGCTTATTAGCTATTGTTGAACAGGTATTACTAGAATTTCAAATCGAGACGAGTTTTACTTGCGGATATACAAACACAACAAAGCATTGAAATAAGACCATTCATCTTGAATATAGTACACCTTTTTTTCTGTGTATAAATACTAAATTACCTAAAATCAGTAATACATTAAATCATCTTAAAATTGATTAAAATCAAATCGAATAAAGTTTCTAATCGATTGCGGTCACAGTATCCAATCGATTTTAAATCTTAATATCGATTTTATTTCTTATATGATTAATTTTATTGATTTTGATTAACCCGTTACTGACATTATTATTTAATATGCTACGTTACACTACAATTATTATGTCCTTGTTGTAATCTAGCATTAAATTTAAGATACATTTCCCGTTTTCTTCTACTTCTCGTACTAGGATTGAACCAGTAATATTTTATAAGATCCGCACCTTTCTCGCCAATCATAATGACAGGCGCATTGATATTTCCATTGGTGACGAATGGCATAATGGAAGCGTCAATCACTCTTAGGCCTGATACTCCATATACCTGTGGAATAAATGTATAATTAAACAAATGAATGAAACAATAATTATTTTATAAATTACAAATTTGATTTGATTTAGGTATATGTCCAAAGAGACAGATAAATAACTAAATCTATAAAAATCTATAAAAATCTATAAAAATCTATAAAAATCTATAAAAATCTATAAAAATCTATAAAAATCTATAAAAATCTATAAAAATCTATAAAAATCTATAAAAATCTATACAAATATATAAAAATATATAAAAATCTATAAAAATCTATAAAAATCTATAAAAATCTATAAAAATCTATAAAAATCTATAAAAATCTATAAAAATCTATAAAAATCTATAAAAATCTATAAAAATCTATAAAAATCTATAAAAATCTATAAAAATCTATAAAAATCTATAAAAATCTATAAAAATCTATAAAAATCTATAAAAATCTATAAAAATCTATAAAAATCTATAAAAATCTATAAAAATCTATAAAAATCTATAAAAATCTATAAAAATCTATAAAAATCTATAAAAATCTATAAAAATCTATAAAAATCTATAAAAATCTATAAAAATCTATAAAAATCTATAAAAATCTATAAAAATCTATAAAAATCTATAAAAATCTATAAAAATCTATAAAAATCTATAAAAATCTATAAAAATCTATAAAAATCTATAAAAATCTATAAAAATCTATAAAAATCTATTAAAATCTATAAAAATCTATTAAAATCTATAAAAATCTATAAAAACCTATAAAAATCTATAAAAATAAATAACTAAATTTAAATGGTAGAAAACAGCTCTATTTTCAGAGTAGGTTATGAGTAGGTTATATAATTTACAAGAGCTGTTTGCCTCTGCCTAAAGAGCTCCAAAAAAAATACTAATTATAGATACCACAAAGAAATTTCTCTCAATATACTTACTCTAAGTTGTGGGTCAACCACAGCCCACGGGTCACTAACAGGGCCCATTTTGGCAGTACACGAATAGTGATATATCGACAACGTATACTGCCCGATATAACAATCCCAGTATTCGTCAGTAAATAGCGGCAAGTGTTTGCAGTTTGGCACCGGTACGTTGTGTAGACGGGCTCCGAACCTTTTCATGGCTTCGGTTTGTCCGAAGGCTATAGCAGCCTTAGTACCTTCTCGTAAAACATTAACATCGTGAGGATGCGTGAGGTAGTTGTGGTATAATAGCGGATATTCTAGAGGATTTTTGGACCTATAAATTAGAAATTTTTAATAATCTTGTTAGACAAACTAGAACTAAGGTTCTAAATAATGCACACAAAACTACAATTATAGGACTTTAAGAAATTATACGAATCAAGTAAAAAAAAGGCTAATATTTTACAAAGATTTAATAATTGCAACTCCAAAGCCTTATGGCGCACACTATGTTATGTTGAGAATGGGGTGTTAATACGCAGTGTATTAACAGTGTATTAAAAGATCTATTGTGCCCCCTTCTGTCGCCAATACACTTAGGAAATGTTTCAATGCCTATAACGACCTTTCATTCCTATTTTCTCAAGGAAGTATAGGATTTGAAGTCAAGTTAGGTAAATCTCCCTCTTCTATTTGATATCCTCCTAGATATAGTACCCTTGGATTCTGGAGTGCTACACATTCAGTTAGGATCTGAATGAAGATTTCGTCCTCCACTTCACATAATCTGAACTCACTATTTTCTACTACTCTCAGTTTACTTAGGTGTCCTTTTAGTCGGCAATGCCCGGTAAGGATCCCTGTTACAATACGTAGCCTGTTCTTGCTCAGGCAGATGCAGGCTTCCGATCTTTTCTGGTTATATTCACCCAGAAGTATATTGGCCTGTCTCAGCCCCAAGAGATTGTTCCAATTATCGGTTCTTCTACTGCCCAATTCTTTTTTAATCTCTCCTAATATTAAGTTACTGCTGATACCGCAGAACGTATCTTTAGTCCTGAAGCAAGTAGACTTTCGTCTGATTACTCCGTTCCTGATCATTCTATATCGTGTCCTTTTTGCCACATTCTCTATCATCAAATGTAGAAGGGTGAGGTTAAAGATCACCTCCATTGCGGCCGTAGGACAGGTTCTCTTGCACCAGTAATGCAAACACAGGCTAGTCTTTGTAATTTTGAGATATTAGCTCTCGTAGTAACTAAACTAGTTCTGTTACTCCAGGCTATAGCCCCGTAAGTGATGATTGCAGTATACATCCATCGCATCCATTAGGGCTTTTGTGGCCTTATTTACTACTTCCTTCTTATGTGTGTTCCAGAGAAGTTTGTTGTCCAGGGTTAGGCCTAGATATTTGACTTCATTTTTCCATTATATATCTATCCTGTCTAATTTAACGGTTTTGAGATTAAGTTTTCTTTTTCTTGAAAAGGCTACTAGTGTTGTTTTTGTAGGGTTTATACTAAGTCCCACTTCACGGCACCATCTTTTGGTATGTTCTAGTCCTCGTTGGACTATGTCACACAGGATATTACTAAACTTGCCACTAGCAAATATGACTATGTCGTCGGCATAACCTTGACAGGGTATGCCGAGGTCAGTCAATCTGCACAGAAGTTCGTCTACGATTAGGCTCCACATTAGTGGGGATAGAACTCCTCCTTGTGGACATCCTCTAGTTGTGCAGATGGAGATGGTGTCCTGCCCTATCTGTGTCTCTGCAGTTCTAGTAGATAACAGCTGAGCCATCCATTTGGATGTGATGTTATCTACTCCTCTGTATGCAAGTGCTCTTTTTACAGATTCGTGTGGCGTGTTGTCAAAAGCTCCTTCTATGTCTAGGAAGGCACACACGACCGTTTCTTTGTTTGTCAGTGCATCCTGGATTGCATCAGTCAACTGTACCAGGGCAGTTTCTGTAGATCTTCCTGCTTGGTAGGCGTGTTGGCTGTGGTGGAGTGGCACCCTCTCCAGGACTTATGTTCTGATATAATTATCAACAGCCTTCTCCATTGTCTTTAATACAAAAGATGTGATACTGATTGGTCGGAAAGATTTAGGATGTGTGGTATCATTTTTCCCTACTTTTGGAATAAAGGTGACTCTGGCCCTCCTCCATGCTTCATGCTTCATGCTCCGAGATAGCCGGTTTATGTGTGGTAGTAATTCCTCCTGTGCCTGCTGAAGTAGGGCAAGAAATAGTCCATCCACACCTGGAGACTTAAACGGTTCAAAAGTGTTTACGGCTCACCTTAACCGATTTCTGCTGCATATGTGTTTGGCCACTACAGCGGCCTCTCTTGGGGGTCTGCTTACCTTAGTTGTGTCCCTTATTAGAAAAGGTGTGCTTCCAGGAAAGTGAGTTTCAAGTAAGAGGCGAGCTTTTTCCTCCTCACTCTCCGTGAATCTTCAATTTGGTTTCTTTAATGCCATCAACTCTCTCTTTTGCTAGGGCCCTGTGCAGTCTCGCTGCCGCAGGTGTAGAGTTAATATACTCGCAGAATTTATTAAAGCTGTTACGTTTAGCTTTCCTAATTTCTTTGTAGTAGGTAGTAAGCGCCTCGGTGTAGCTCTGCCAATCTCCGTTGTGCTTGGCCCTATTATAGAGCTTCCGCACTTCGGATCGTAAGTTTGACAGATGACGGTTTCACCAAGGAGCATCCCTACTAGTTCTATTTCTTTGAATGGGACAGCTTGATTCATATGCCTCAATTACTGCCCCATTTAGTTCTTCGAGATCGCTTTCCAGAGTAAGTGGGTGCCCGGGCCCCTTTTTTGTCTGGGTACGTGCTAAATTTTGTTTTAGAATGATGTTGTATTTGTCCCAATCTGTTTTTCTAGGATTCCTCCTGAGGATCGTCTCAGGAATGTCGCTCTCTAACGTAAATACAATTATCTTGTGATCAAATAGAGATGGTTCACTTGATAGCCTCCAGTTTTTAACTAGATCTTTAATGATCGGTGTGCTTAATGTGATGTCTAATACCTCACTTCTTGCCCTTGTTACAAATGTTGGAGTATTCCCAATATTTTGCACAATAAGGTTCTTATTAAAAATATATATTCTAAGGCGCACACTAAAAAATAATAATTTAATTGCAGATAAAATATGTTATATTCCCAAGAGCATTAGAAATTCCAATAACGTAAATAATTTCTTAGTTAATTCTGTACCAAATATTAACGCTCCTCAACATTTGTTAAATTGTTATAGCTCTAGTAGCATTATCGATTCTACATTTAAGTTTAAAGCTGTTGATGAAATGTTTATTTTTAATAATTTATGCAAAATAAAATCACACAACAAATAATAGTGTTTTTGCTCTTAATTAAAATTTCTGAGCTACTTAATAAGATACTTAGAATTTCGTTCAAATTGAATTATTACAAAAATATTTCGAACTAATTTTAGCGTCACTCACATTAAAAGTAACTACCAGAGCACAAGTTTTGTATTTTAGTTGATTTTCTACAGAACACCCGTGAACGGCACACCTCATTTTTAATAAGCAGACAGCAATAAACATCTTAGTGGAAATTTTTAGATAATTTAATTTACTTCAGTTAATATCTGTCTGCATGCCGCTAATTGTCATGATTAAAAACTTTATTTCAGACTTTAAATTCTTAAATCGTGAATTTATGTAAATCTTAAATCGCAAATCAAAATCCGAAAAGTCAGAGAAATATCTGAAATAAGTGGCTGAATAATTTAAAAATTCAGAAACAAATCTTAAACATCGCCCTACTAATTATTAAGACCATCCCCGAACTACAACGGTGACACAAGATTTGAAAAAATCCTGCCGTATTCGGGAATCGAACCCGGACATGCTAGACAAGTGCCCTTCCTTCTAGACCACCACGACAAATTTTTGTCATACCTAAACACAGTTGTTGACGTTACGTGTTAGTTACCATGGCAGGCAAGGCGATCTGGGCGATGATATCTTATATTCGTTGTTTAATATACATAAGCAAACAGAATATTAATGAATGTGTTTTAACTTAACATGTTTAAAATCGTTTTTGTTTCCAATTAGGTAATACACTTATTAACTTTACTGATTTCAATTCACAAATAAACTTATGAACATATCACCTCTTCAAATAACACTGTTTGGGGTAAATTCGCGCCAATAATAACTAAAAATGGCATACATGAAGCTGAGGTCACATCGTGCGGTCCATATAAAACAACAAAAAGCGACACTAGCGCCATTGATATATGCTCGAACTAGCAACTTTTACATATATGGAATTCGGTATTACCTCTAGACGAATTTTCTATAGAGGTAGCCTGGTAACCGCCAGGGGTGGCAAAAGAGTTAAACGTTGAAACGTTATCACCACGCTGTTCTGAAGTGTAAACGTTATATATGAGGTGAGAACACTAGTTATGTATCTACTTTTGAGGTGACAAAGGTATATATTATTATTATTATCTATAGTTCTGGAGAGGGGTGGTTACCCCACTGCACTTATGCCTCTCTTTACCTACTGTGTAGTTGGTAACGTCGTCGAGAGGTGTCTCTATTATGTTAGCCGGTGTTATTCGGGATTAGCCAATACTTACTGAACACAAATCTTTTAATAGGCAATCGTAGAGAATATGCTCGATAGTCCCATCTTCTTGTTCGTTCTTCTTAAAGAATGCGGAGTCTGATAGTCCCATGGTATGTGGGTGCTTCTAATCTTAAGATGACCGATATTATTATATCGTTGATGGATACTTCGACATTCTAGTACTAACCATGAGTAAATTCATGATATGTTCAGTCTGACTAGTACTTGTATCTGTAGATGAGCATGTTTCTTTCTGGTATTTTTTTGCTACTATGAGAATCCCCGTTAGTTCAGTTTGTACTGCACTGACACTGTTTCTGACAAGCCATTTTATGTTTACGTTTAATTATCTGGAGTATATTGCACTCCCTAAATCTTGTTTTATTTAGGAAGCGTCGGAGTAGACTTGAATTGTACCTGTCATTTCCTGCTCTATATATATTTTCGTTATAAGTTAGTAGGGTTTGCGAAAGACATTATGGAAGGTAACTGCACTGTATGTTAGAATAGGTCTTTAAGTACATGTGATGACTGAGGAAGAGACCCTAGTTATGTCGCCAAGTACCCTATTTTATTGCTTCATTTCTTATTTTTTTGGCATAGACTTTCTGTCATACAGCCAGTCACAAAATGGAAAAGGTAAATTAACAAACAAATGATTATTGAAAAGGAGAAAACATTAAATAAGCGAATTAAACGGGGACACTCGCTTCTTGCCTAGGGACCCATCAAGGCATTAAAAAAAATCAAACATACATTAGGTCACGGTAAGGGGCTAAATTAAAACAATAGAAAAAAAACAAAGGTAACGAAAGAGAAGTACTAATCACAAGCGTATTCCTGATTCCATTAAAAATTCAATCAAGCAGTCATAAATGTTTGTGGAATTTGAGGACAATAAACTTTGGATATTCCAACGGGAGCATATTTTGCATTTAAGACGGTTGGTATATAGCTTGTCAGAGAATTTTTTGTTTTTCGTATAATTAAAGAAGATATGGTCTAGATCTCCTATTTCATTACACGTCTCGCATTGGTCACTTTCAGAGACTTTAATTTTGTATAAATGGCTAGGATAACAGGCATGACCAAATTTTATCCTAATGATTGTCGATATGTACTTTCGCGGTATTTCATAATGCTTGTACCAAGGGATCTTAGGAATATTTAACTGTAGAGTCGTATACCGTGTTGGATTTGTAAAACAATATTCCTGTCACAAGTGTTGCCATTTGTTGAACTGATTTGTTTTTCATAATATAGTAACATCAGAAACAGATAAATTGTATGACGTATTAGAACCTGTTACAGAGTCCTTTTTGTCCAACAAATCTACATGTTCGTTGTGCCTTAATCCATATAAAACGCACGTTCTTGACCTCTTTCTGAAAATGTTTGGATAAGTTTCTAAATTTTTATTACAAAAGGACAAGTCGATGTATTAGGAAGCCAATTTGTTTTAATAGAAGTTAAAACAGAGAGGGAATCTAATACGATCATTATCGTTTCTCTGTTGCAGGAAGAGGCGTAAATAAAAGTAGGTTTTTATGAGTGTCTGGTAAATTGCAGAGCATAAGGGTATTTAATTTGGTCATAACCAGAAGAAGTATTGTTGCGATTGTTAAGAGCAAAAGAAAGGGAGTAAGAGTTGGATCAAATGGTGTTCCTTTTTAAACAAACAAACTCCATCCACCGTTATCTGGAACCAAGCAAAAAAATTGTAAGAAAACCAGTAAATAACCCTATTTCATCATCCCTAGACAATAAATATATGATTAAACGACTTTTACAATAAAATTGCACCCCCTTTTGTAAGCACCCCAATACCTAAGGTTACTAAGGTAGTAATTCTAATCATTTCTTAAATATTAAAATGGTTTATAAATATAAACATCAAATGTACACCTTGTGGGACTCCAGAGATAACTGAAACTGTTTGCCTTAACAATAATTTGTATTTGATCTAGCATCTAAGAAAACATATATCTAACTTCAAACAATTTTCTATAACTCCAACACAGTAAAACGTATTCTACTAGAAATATTCTTGTTTATCATCATAACAAACCCATTTTCTTACCTTAGTTTAATCTCTCCCCTACTCTTTGGTCTCAGCATCATAGCAAAGATTCCAAATGTATCCTTATAGTTGATACTCTCGTATACTTCTTTATAGAATTCATCTGTCAATCCGTGAGCTTTTTTAACCTGAGTCCCACCATCCGCAGGTGTTGTAGTGCTGGTTAACATAAACTCCATGTCGGGCCAGTCGTCCGAGCGGTTAGCATATTTGGTTGGGATGAAACCGACGGTTTCCAAACCTAGAAGAAATTTAAAATATTTTAAATACACTACCGACTTGAAACCGTCAATAACTATTTTCCTTTCTTTAAATTTGGATCTGATTTGATATAATGGAAATTAAATTAGTTTATTCCTTACCTATAGATGATGTTAGAGGACCATCTTCTTTGATAGCATATCTTAGGGCTGTGTTAATATTGACAAGACGGTTGATCACCAAACTTATTGGGTAATCAATGAGGAATGTGACTACCGAAGCTATGTGATCTTGAAGATTTTGCCCTGAAATTGGAATATAATTTTTTGTTTATACAATTTATTCAGCTTAATTTAGAAGTTAAATACAAAAAAATGCTAACCTACTCCTGGAGAATCGTGAATTACTTGTATCCCTTTCTCTTCCAGATGACTCTGAGGTCCAATTCCACTCAACATCAATAAATGTGGCGTATTGATTGCTCCAGCAGAAAGGATGACTTCCTTTTTAGCTAATACTGTTTGTTTTTGACCATTTTTTATATATTCCACACCATACGCTCTTCTTGTATCGGGATCTATTAATACTTTAGTAACGTGAGTGTACATGGAGATATGGAGGTTCTTTCTCAGTCTGATAGGCCTAAGAAAAGCTTTGGCTGTACTACATCGAGCTCCCCTTCGCATTGTGAATTGATAGAGGGCAAAACCAGTTTGCTTTTCACCGTTAATGTCACGTATGTCGTAACCCATTTCTTGACCTGCTTCCAAGAACGCCACTCCCAGTGGGGTGTTGTACGGGTTGTCTTGGACTGTTTGGTAACCACCTAGAATTATAATACAAAATAGAGTTTGGTTTTTTATTAAGCTTATGAAAATAAAATGTAATAGTACTGAAATAAAATATAATACCAGTAGCATGATGTCTTTTATCTCTAGCCAAATAAGGATTTCTTTGGTCTTGACTTTTTTTAAAATAGGGCAAAACATCTTCGTAGGACCAACCTTCATTACCATAATCTGCCCAACGGTTAAAGTCTCTTTTGTTTCCTCTGATATAAAGCATAGTGTTTAGAACACTTGATCCACCTAAAACTTTGCCTCTTGTCCAGCTGCATCTTTTATCTATCATCGCTTGGCAAGCCGTATCTTGTGCTTCGGTCCTGATTTAATAAACATATTTAGAAGGAGTTTTTTTTTGGTATCGTCACCACAATATTAGTGTCAATAAATAATGCTTACTTGTAACCCCAATCCAGTTTACTCTTGTGCAAATACAAGCTCATAATGGGCACGTCAGTGATATCGGTTTCTTGTCCTCCTGCTTCCATCAAAAGAACTTTCCATCCTTCTATCTCACTCAGTCTATTCGCTAATACGGATCCAGCAGAACCAGCTCCGATTATAATGAAATCGTAAGATGGATCCAAAATCTTTTGGTCAGGGTTTCTGTTTTCGGGGTCGTATTGATCGTAATGGAAGTACGTTATCGCGGCTATGAGAAACGGTAGCACTGCTATCTTTCCTGCTCCTATGATCGCAACTCCTGCTTTTACCGCTGTTAAAATTGAGCTCAAAGCAATGACTGCCATTTTCAAATCTATCTGCAACATAAGAGAGAAAAATACTAATTTTGGATGTAAAGTTTTTAAAAATTTTGATACAGTATACGAGTATTTAATCCATACTGGGATCTGGGTTATGAATACCGCCAGTATTTGACATTTGAACTATTTTTTAATTATTTTACTTGTGCTTATAAATAGTTTTTAAATAGTTCATATTAGGACAATGGAAAGGCTAACCAATTAGTCCGAAAAGGCTCAGATAAGGCCATGCTGGACCTCAAACCCTTTTTTGGAGTTTCTAAATCATCGTACAAGGCATCCATCAAACAATGAATGCAAAAGGGCTCCAGGAAAGGTAGAACAACTTTTTAAAATTAAGACAGACCACCGTCGGCCTAGTTCACAAAAGACCTACTGGATCAAAAACAACAAACCGTTTATATAACAGTAGGTTTTCTTACTAGACACTGTTGCCTAAGAAAACATAAATGTCATCATTCCAGCAGAAAGATCAACACTGTACAGGTTCTGTGAAGCAAAAAAAGATACATCAATCCACGTGGTGGGCTAGTGTGAAGGCCTGGCTACATTGAGGTTTCTAATAAAAAAAGACCAATAATATATTCTAAATAACGAAGTTCCACGATAGATCTGAAAAGGTTTCTACTTCACAAATAAAAAAAAATGATAGGATTCTTTAGAGAAAAAGATACTTTATAAATGATTTGTTACTTGATCTTGCTTGTTATTTAAAAGAAAGGGGGTTGCTGGCGGACTCCAGGAGTTGGATTTCTGGTTATGAATTTTATATGATAATTCGTTCCCTTGCCAATAAAAGTTGAATTTTTAGTTTTTGAAAAACTCTTTTAGATCTGAGTTTCTAGGGGCGTCAAGTTATTGCTGCTGGTACATCCAGTATTGTGCATTTTCGACGATAAAATATTATTATAATTAATTTTTAGTACATAGTAACCATGGAGGAAGAATATAAAAATTATTTGAACACGTAAATATAAATAACCCAATGAACCACATCTTTCTTTTAATAAAATCTGAATGAATTCATTTAATATTTTCAGTCTGAAATAAGGTAGCATACCTTAAGTAAAAATGCTAGGTTTTTTATTGAAGGAAAGGTTATTTTAATTGCAGATCATATAGTTCTGAGAAAGCAGACATATTTTTAACAATTGTACTACCAAGCTTTTTTCAAACGTGCAGTATCAAGCGGGTTACATTTGCACCCCTTTTTTGGTTTTCTATTTTCTTGGTGTTTCCTAGACTATGTACTCGTATAATAAAAACGAACGTAATTTGATTATATTAAATTTAAAGCCGATCTTTTCACCTCTGAGTTAAGTTATATATGGTTTACTTGACAGATTAACAAACAAGGGCCTTATATAAGTATGTACATATGTGACCCTTTTAGAATATTCCAGACACCTTTCAAATAAAAATTAGCACCTTCATCATAACATGCTACGGCGAGAATTCACCAAAATTGTTGTATCTAGATTATTAATCAACGAGTCTAGTAAATTCTAGGAGAATGATTCAGATCAACTAATGGTGAACATGCAGGGTCTGGAAGGTTGAATAAGTTCATTGAATATTTCTGGTAACAAGAAAAATGCTGTAAAAGGCCCAAATCTGGAAGAGAGGGACTGAATTGATTAGATCATGATTGAACTGGTCGAAAATGGCACGCATAAAATTATTGAAATCTGACAATAAGCGATATGCCATCTACTATGAACTGAGTCCACTAGCCATTTGAAGTATCAAGTCAACAAGTGTTTCGTTTGGTTTTTCGTTTCGTGCAGAGATAAAGGAGATAAAGATAGGAAACGCCCATAAGAAGCCAATGCTTAACAACGACCAGCTTTATCGCAGTTAACATCTGACCCACTATGTGGCGCTTTCATCGATATCAAACAACACAGCGGGAAATTTAAGAACCTATGATAAAGGTTGCATAAATATCGGCTGCACTCTCATGTTCTTGTAAATAAACTTAAACAATGTAGTTACGCTAAATTATTTATTAAAAAGAATATTACACTTACAGTCTATTATCGATTAACTATTGTAAAACTATATTCATGACAAATATTTTTTAATTTTTGATTGTTATTTGTAACACTGCATTTTTGTTTTTATTTAAGTATCTTATTTAAAATTGTTGAGTGCAAATTCAATAATGGGAATTCAGATATTTTTCTTCCTATATCAAATCTTCTTCCTAACATTTTGAAGCCATTTCTTGTTCTAAAACAATAAATAGTACATAAACACCTACTTTGTGACAAAAGTTGATTACTATTTGTGTTACATGAATAGATCTTACCTACAGTTCATCAAATTTCTAGAGGTGTTCGACGCCCAGACAGAGAACGCGCTACGTGTGACTAAGATAGCTATTGTACAGTCTGCTAAACAAGTTATTTTAAATAGTTTTTAATATTTTTAGGTAATTAAATTTTAAAAGTGTGGAATAGTTTAGGGATTAAATTGGTCTGATTGGACTTTCTTAGAACGTTTTTAAAAGCAGCTAAAGATAGTATGTAGAATTGAAAATAATTATTATGCCATAAAAGGTGTTTTGGAATTCCTTCAACCTTTTGAAATTGAGTCAGAAAATATAAATTTTATAGGATAGCGGAAAATACCTATAATTTTTTTGTAGGCCTTTGTAAATCGTGGAAATAGTTTATATTTTATTTCTACCTTATTAAGGAAAATGGTACCTATTATTAATAACGGTTGTTTCTGAAACATTACTAAAATTTTCGAAATTTTGTTTTTCTACAAAATAATAAACTATACTATTTAGAAAAAAATTTATTTCTCTTATAATTTTATAAAAAATAACAGGGGAATATTTACATTTCTTGATCTATTAAACAAAACGATAAATTATCTCGACGAATGACACCATGTTCTAGTACGGAAGCTAGCTTTACATTTTTGTTGGTGGTTTCATGGGTTTCATATCAATTTTTTGTAATTGTAGTTTACACGTACATATACCTCTTAACACTTGTTTGCTTTAATAAAAAAGTGTATTGTTGTGATTTACGTCGAAATAAGTCAAAAACAACTTGAAACCCCATATAAAATCAAAAAGGAGAAACGGAAAAAAATTGAGCCTGTAAATGAACACAACTCAGAAACAAAAATAGCTATCTAATAATAAAAAAATAAAATTTGATTCTTGTGCAGCTTCATCTATATCATTAACTGTTTTTGGTTTTTTAATGGTTTTTCTTGGTGATGAAAATTCCGATATCTCACGGTTATCGATTCTTTTTTTCTCTCCAGAAATGCGGACGACAGTGTTTTTAGATACTCCTGTGGCTGCAGCAACACGATCATTTACATTTTTAAATGGTATTGAAGGTGAATTAAAGTTTCCTTCTCTTCTCATAAACTCTATAACATTGGCTATTATTTCGCGAGATTGACTGTTAATCACGCGGCCTCTTAATTTGCTATTAAACTCCATACTTAGGTTCTATTAAACTGTAATGAGCAAAAAACGCAAACGAAAATAAAAGAAATGTTTTAGCGAAATTTACATCTGACATTTACGTCTGAATGAAATAGTGAAATACTTGATGCGCAGAGTGTACTTTCATTGCGTAAATCCGTCGGGATGCCTGTCAGTAGTGCTTTCTCTGTCTAGCCGTCGAAAGCCTCTAGAAATTTGATGAACTGTACTTTGGTTAATTAAAGAACGCCACATTGGGGTTGTTAAATTTGTTCATGTGGCATGTGTTACTATAGAGCATTCAATATAAAAACCGATGCACGTCAGAGATGACGTCAGTGACAATCATTGGTACCACACACACTAATAAAAATAATTAAATTTTATTTTGCAAATAAATGAATGAATTTAGACGCATGGAGTTCATTTTAATAAAATTGCATATTAAAAATGTTTTTTTTATCATATCACAGTAGTAAATGTACTGTAGGCAGATTATTAACGGAACACTTTCTAGTGAATTTCATAATAAAAGTTGGCATCAAATGTGTCAGCTTTCAATTTTAATACATTGTTGTCAATTGTTATTTGTTTTGTATTATTTTGCATCGATCGATTTCTTTTCAACAAATTATTTGTATTTTAGATTAAATTATTAACAAACTGTTCTTTCAGAACAAATTTATTAGGAATTTAATAGTGGTGTTCGTTTATTGTGTATTTTTTCATTGAAAAATGTCAAAACAATTAAATAGTCGCTGCAAGGAACTAGTGGCTTCTCTAATAAATTATTTTGAGAAAGAACATGATAATAATGGGCCTTTGTTACACAAAAAGATTGTATAGACATGTGGTCTGAAGCACTTCGAACAAAGAAATTTTTAAATGGTGTGAAAGAGAGCATATACTGGACCGATTGGAAATTGCTCCCATTATTATAACACCAAATAGAGATGATTCTGATTTTAGTTCTGATTATTCTGACTCATTTTAGCTTAAATATTATTTAAGTTTTAAAATGTCATGTGTTGTTAATTTTATTACCTAACTGTTCTAATTATTATTGTTATTTCTTTTAAATATGGATGTTTATAAACTAACTGAACATAATTATTTTTTATTGTAAATTAAATCAAGGCTAAATAAAATTTGTCTGTTTTTTCATCCTTAATCTAACCTTTTTTTGTCATTTTAAACTTCTTGTGCAAAAATTATTACTCCTAAATTCAGTGTTTTTCTAAAACTTCAATTTAAACATTATCATTGACCTTCATTGGCTTTTATATAGAATTCATTATACATTTAAAATTTATTGTTCCTAATAACATAGCCAAAAACCTCATAGTTTTATAAAATTCCTACATTCTTATACTATTTTGAAGATTGAGCAACACTGCAAGGCTATGACTTCACAACTGATTGATGACGTGTATCGGTTTTTATATTGAATGCTCTATAATGTAATCGTTCTCCTACTTATTGTAATATTACAAAATATAATTATTGTCCTTAAATTTCACACAAAAACAGCCACAACTATTTT